ATGTCTTTTTGTTAATAACTCATGATGCAGTAAACAGAGATTTCTTTTATCCATCAGGTTCCCTCAAAATGTCACGTTTAAATACTAATCTAGGGCCTAATTCATGATTTCCATGGATATTTGTCAGATATGTAACTTCATTGATACCAGCAACTGCCGATGACGTCATCACATTATGAACTGCTGCAGATGATGTCATCACATTATGAACTGTTGCCAATGACATCATCACATTATGAACTGCTGCAGATGATGCCATCACATTATGAACTGCTGCTGGTGACGTCATCACATTATGAACTGCTGCAGATGATGTCATCACATTATGAACTGCTGCAGACGAGAACACTGTTGTTTTACTTCTTTTGCTAACAAGTGACGTAGTTCATAACATTCCATGTATTAAAAGTCAATGGGACCAATAAAAACAAAGGGAAAGGTAAGAAGGTGAGCTGAAGTGAGGGAGAAAGCATTGGTATCGCTTAACGTTTCCATGGAAGTGATTATGGAATTCGGGCTGTCTTATCCACAGGGTCTTCAGCTGCTCGTGCAGAGGATCAACCACACACATGCTTTATTCCTTGGGGCAGGGAAGGATGGCTCCAAAAATCCTGCATGGATTGGTTTATACAGATTTAGCTATAAGTAACACAGAAATACACCCCATAAAGACGTGTAAAATAGCAATATTTGTTCTTTTTTATTAAAAATAGGTAGGACAGAGCTGCGCCCACTCTCTTCTGGAATTGTTTTGGCCCCACTTTTGCCTGTGACTTAGCTTCATTGTCAGGTTCCTGGCTGGATGGCGTGGTGGCGGCGATCCTAAGAGCCAGCCACACCTGACCTTGTACAGAGAAAGAACAGATGTCTTTCTGACAAGCTCTTTTTAAGAATCAGGAAAATTTCTCATATCCCACAGTGGATTGTCCTTGTTTCTCATTTGTCAAATTACATCATGTGATCTGGTAAAAACCTATTACTGCATCTTAAGGAAGCATTTTTTGATCTTTACCCAAAAGAAGACACAATCCTCTGAAGTACAAGGCTGTTCAGAAGAGGATGAGAACTTGAAGAAAACGGAACCCAGCTGATATAAAAGCTATGGACGGGCCCCAGCAGGGCTGGCTGTCTCTCCTGTGAGACCCTCTCCTCCTCCAGCAGGGCTGGCTGTCTCCCCAGTGAGACCTTCCTCCCAGCTGA